TTATGGCTCGTATCTCTTGTGGGTAAATACCAAGTAGAGGAATTGCTGGATCATAAGGTATTTCTATTTCCAACCTTCTGAGGAAGCACCATATTGCTTTCCAGAGTTTGGACCATTTTGCAATTCCACCAGCAATGCGGGAGCTTCCCAGTCTCTCCACATCCTCGCCAGCATTTATTGTCCTCTGCTTTTTTGATCTTTGCTGCTACTGGTGGTGTGAGATGATATCTCATTGTTGTTTTGATTTGCATCTCTCTAATGGCTAGTGATTGTGAACATTTCTTCATATGTTCATTGGCTGCTCAGATCTCCTCCCTGGTGAAGTGTCTGTTCATATCCTGTGCCCATTTTTTTATTTGGTTATTTGTCTTTTGCTTGAAGATGTATTGTAGTTTTCTACATATTTTAAGAAATGAGTCCCTTGTCTGATGTGTTGTTGCAAAAGATTTTTTCTTGTTCTGTGGGTTCCCTTTTTACTTTTCTGGTGAAGTCTTTTGATGCAGATAAGTTTTCAATTTTTAGTATGTCCCAATCATCTATCTATTTTGTCTACTACTATTTGTGTAGTTTTCAAAATGTTTGGTAGGCTGTGTATGCCCTGAATTAGTGCCCTCACATTTGTCCCTATGTTTTCATTGATGACCTTCATAATTGTGGGGTACACATTTAGGTCTTTAATCCATGTTGAGTTGTTTTTTGTATAAGGCATAAAGTAAAGGTTGTTGTTTTTTTTTTTTCAGTCTTTTGAATATCGCTTTCCAGTTCTCCCAGCACCATCTGTTGAAGAGACTATCCCCTCCCCATGCGATATATTTAGGTACTTTGTCCAAAATCAGTTGGCTGACTGTGGATGGTTGATTTCTGTATTCTCGATTCTGTTCCATTGATCTTTCATTGTACCAGTACCAAGCTGTTTTGACCACTGTAGTGTGTAATAAATTTTGAAGTTGAGGAGAGGTTTCCAACCTTATTCTTCTTCTTAAGCATTGCTTTGCTTATCCTGGGCCTCTTTCCTTTCCATATAAAGTTTGTAATTGTTTTTTCCATCTCTTTGAAGAATGTCATTGGAATCTGGATTGGGATTGCATTATATGTGTAAATTGCTTTGGGCAGTATTGACATTTTCACAATGTTAAGTCTTCCTATCCAGGAGCATCGTACATTCTTCCATTTTTGTAGGTCTCTTTTGGTTTCTTGTAGTAGTGTTTTGTAGTTTTCTTTGTATAAGTCCTTTGTTTCTCTGTTTACATTTATTCCTAGATATTTCATCCTTTGGGCAGCTATTCTAAATGATATTGTTTTCCTAATGTCCTTTTCAGCACTGTCATTTTGGTATAGAGGAATCCAACTGATTTTTGTATGTTGATCTTATATCCTGCCACTTTGCTGAATCTTCCAATGAGGTCTAGTAGCTTTATCACATATTCTTGATTAAAATTGATAATAAACATCATTAAGGATTCTGTGTGGTCTGGTGCAGGAGGAGGCCCATGGGGGTGACACTGGGTGACACAGCTGTGTCAGGGGCCCACATCCGGCTGTGTAACAGGTTCATTGAAGGCCTTTTTAACAATACCTATTTCCAAAGCCTGCCATTCTGGGGATTTTGGTTCAGGGAATGTGGGGTGGTGTTGAGGCAGCTACGTATAAAGAGGCATGCCCAGGATATTCTGACAAAGGAGGCTGCATCCTGAGAAATCATGAGTAGAAAGGGGCTGGGGAGGCCATAATGGCCAGCAGGGGATTTGGATTTTATTTTGTGACAATGGGCATCTGGCGATTTGACACTTCAGAGACTCTCAAACTATAATATCCACCGGAACCAGCAGGGTATGTGTGTGATTAACATGCAGATTCTAAGTCAGTAGGCCTGAGGAAGGGCCTGAGATTCTGCATTTCTGACATTTTCCCCACGAAGTCTGGACAACTTTTGTTCTGAGGAACATTAATTTTCAAAAGAGGCTTTGATTAATTGATCAGGTTCATTTGGGAAACACTACCTGCTCAATCCCATAATGCATAGCAACATCCTTGAGGCTCTGAGAAGTTCTTCAGTAAAGACCGGTTTTATCTTGTGATTTCCAAACTTATTTGACCACAGAATTCATCCCATCCCCCCACCTTTTCTTTTTTGTTTAAATGTAAACACTCTTGAGAGAAGACTGTTAGAGAAATAAGAACCTAGCTCAGGACTAGATGGATTAAACTAGGAAGAACAGTGGGGAAGTTGGAGACATTGTGTGGGTCAGAGGAAGAGGCCTGAGGGGGCTGGTACAAAGGAGAGAGAGGGTGAGGTAAGAGTGGGAAGAGGCCATCATGGATTCAACCCTGGGTAACAGGAAGCAGGAGAAATTGTTAACAAGGCAGAGAAATCCAGAGGGCAATAGTTCAGAACACTGGATGAACAGAGGCCAGTGTGGCTGGAGTAGAGAACATGAGGCCAAAGGAAGAACTCCCACCAGACAGGGCCAGTGGTACATGGGGCTCTTTACAGGGCACTGATAAGCACTGAAGGGCTTTGTAAATACAGTGACATGAAGCCCACAACACATAATAAACAGTTAATAAAACACTACAGTGATGTGATCTCTTACATTAAAAAAAATATGTTCTGGAAAGCAAGCTGGAGGGAAGCAAAAGTCTATGGCAGAACCAGTGGTCTCCTTTGACATCACCAGGGTGTTGGGGACAGGTGTTTACAACATAACCCTTTGTACTTATTGCTTGTGTACTTGCATTCCTCATTCACTAAATAAGTAGAGTTGTTAGGAAAAGCATGCCAGAGGGTCTAGAGAGCCATCAGGTGGCCACTGTATTTGTCCAGGGTGGCTGTGATGAAGGTGAAGTGGGCCAAGTCAGGAGACACTAAGGACAAACAGTTACTAATGGAGCAAGACTGAATATGGGAGTTCAGGAGAGGGAAGCATGAGGAATGAGTCCTGGTTTCTGGACTGAGTAATAGAATGCATGGAAGAAACAGGTGGGAAAGACTGGATGGACAGGTTTAGGGGGAAGAGGCAGGTTAGGGAGGAGGTGATGAGCTAGGTTTCCGGCCAAGTGAGTTGGCTATATCTGTGGGGGAGCTGTGTTGGATGTGTCTGTGGGGGAGATGTTGGATATGTCTGGGGGAGATTTCCTGGATGTGTCTGTGGGAGAGAGAGGGCTGCAGCCTGGGGGTAGAGTTGGTAGTAGGCGCTCCAGGCCTGGAAGACTGAGAGAAGGCACTTCTCCATGTGACAGGAGAAGCCTATCAGGAGCTCCTGAGCAGGGGTGGTGGGGCTAGAGGAAAAGCTGGTGGAGTGGCATTGTGTGTCCTCAGGAATAGAGAGAAGGGTCATACCTCTCACAAGGCAGTGAGTTCCAGGGGAAAATGTGTGTTCTGGGTAGTGAGAAGGCCCCTGGGGAGTATGAAAAGAACTACTTATGCTGTGGGTGGAAGCGAGCCAGATGACAAAGCTTGACCGATGGAGTCTTCTACCTGGTCAGGGGCTCACAGCCCCCTCCTTACCTCATCCACAGACTGAATGCTTCAACCACGTGCGGTTCCTTCAGCGGCTCAATGCCACCCACCTTTACACATGTGGAACACATGCCTTCCAGCCCCTTTGTGCAGCCATTGTGAGTACGCCTGCTCCTACCCTGATCACTGGTCACTGAGCCCAGACTGCTCCTCAGGACCACTGACTTCTGACCTCTACTTCCCTTAGGATTCTGAGGCCTTCACCTTGCCAGCCACCTTTGAGGAAGGCAAAGAGAAGTGTCCTTATGATCCTGCCCGTGGCTTCACGGGCCTCATCATTGGTGAGTGGGCTCTCTTCCCTACACTGGCTCCTCACCCACAAACTGTTTTGGGGACATAGATCTTGTTGGTGGGACTTGCTGCTCTTGTGTATCATGTACCCTTCATGTGTGTCACATGCTCTTGTTCTATGTGACATTTCTCTCATGCTTGGCATGTCCCTGCCCCAGATGGGGGCCTCTACACAGCCACGCGCTATGAATTCCGGAGCATTCCTGACATCCGCCGGAGCCGCCACCCCCACTCCCTGAGGACTGAGGAGGCACCCATGCACTGGCTCAATGGTGAGAAGGATGAGGCATAGGGTGGGGGCAGGGGACTATGTTTTCTTTTTTTTCTCCCTTGGGCAGCTGAGTCCTCCACATCCCAATCCCCAGGTGAGCCTGTTCATTCCTGGGTGTTGTCAAGTGAGGGGGAGGGGGAGGGAGATGGAGAGAAGTTCCCAGCCTGACCCAGAAGCCTCTGGAACTGCCCTGCCCACAGATGCTGAGTTCGTGTTCTCTGTCCTGGTACGGGAGAGCGAAGCCAGCCCAGTGGGAGATGATGACAAGGTTTACTACTTTTTCACGGAGCGGGCAGCTGAGGAGGGATCTGGCAGCTTCGCTCAGAGTCGCAGCAGCCACCGGGTGGCCCGTGTGGCCCGTGTCTGCAAGGTGGGTAGGGCTGAGGCCAGGCCAAGAATTAAGGCTGGACCTTAGATTCCGGCCTGTGACCCTGTGCCCCTGCCTCCCCAGGGAGACCTGGGAGGTAAGAAGATCCTGCAGAAGAAGTGGACTTCGTTTTTGAAGGCGCGTCTCATTTGCCACATTCCACAGTATGAGACTCTGCGTGGTGTCTGCCATCTGGATGCTGGCACCTCAGCCCACACGCGTTTCTATGCGGCCTTCACGCTGACCACACAGTGGTCAGTGCAGGGACAGTGGGGAGGCAAGGAACGGGGACAGTGGAGGGGCTGGAACAGAAGTCAGTGAGGATGAGATAGGACCAGCTGCAGAGAGGGCTGACTGCAAAGAGAATTTCAGGCGTGACCAGCTCGTCTAGGGCCAGAGGCATAGTGGTCTGCTGAGCCTCAGGCTGCTCAGTGGTCCCTCTGTGGGTTGCTTAGGGTGACAGTGAGTACCAGGTGAGGTATGGGGTGGGACAGGCTCTGCCCAATGACATTCAGCCCCATCCCATGCCCCACCCCTAGGAAGACTCTGGAGGCCTCAGCTATCTGCCGCTATGACCTGGCAGAGGTGCAGGCTGTCTTCTCAGGTCCCTACATGGAGTACCAGGATGGTGTCCGGCGCTGGAGCCGTTATGATGGTGGGGTGCCTGAGCCCCGGCCTGGCTCGGTGAGCACTCAAGCCTGGGACCAACACTTGTGGGGAGGGTAGGCAGGCAATAGAGTCCCAAGGTTCACTGCCCCTATCCCCACCCCCAGTGTATCACAGACTCACTACGTAGCCGAGGCTACAACTCATCTCGGGACCTGCCTTCCATGGTCCTGGACTTTGTGAAGTTGCACCCACTGATGGCTCGACCTCTGATACCCACACGTGGACGGTCCCTGCTGCTCAAGCACAGTGTGCGCTACACACACCTCACAGGGATACCTGTCACCACGCCTTCTGGACACACCTATGACCTGCTCTTTCTGGGCACAGGTGCTCCTGACCCCTGGCCTGAGCCCTCTGGTGACTGCTGACCCTTGATCCCTATGGACCCCCAGGCCCCTAGGTGACCCTTTATCACAAAACTCTGATGTCCATCAAGGGGGATACTTCAATGAACACTCAGTTCTGGCCCTGGTGGCCACTGATTGTTGGTAACTGCAAGCCCTGTCACCAACCACAATGACATTTGTTTGACCCTAACCACTAATGCCTCCGAACCCAATAATTGCTGCCATGACCACTTGGAGTTTCCATGGGCCCAAGGGACTACTGCTACTGGCTGGTTCCCTGTCCCTGACCTCATGACACCTAACAGCTCCCATCAGGCCTATTGTGGGGGCTGAGAGCAGGCTCCATTGCTGGGTCTCATCTGACTGGGTCTCATCTGTCTTGTTCTCCTCTGCCCTTTCCATGCCAGCTGATGGCTGGATCCACAAGGCTGTGGTCCTGGGCTCTGGGATGCACATCATTGAAGAGACACAAGTGCTAAGGGAGCCCCAGTCTGTGGAGAATCTGGTCATCTCACCAACACAGGTAGTCCCTGACTTGTTACCCTCACTAAAGCCTTCTGGGATGGAGGGACTGGGAGTGGGCACGATGCCAACCAGCTGTCTTTCCTGGCTCCCAGCACAGCCTCTATATAGGAACCCCCAGTGGGGTCATCCAGTTACCACTGTCCAGCTGCTACCGCTATCGCTCCTGCTACGACTGCATCCTGGCCCGGGACCCTTACTGCGGCTGGGACCCCAGCATCTGTGGCTGCGTGGTGACCACTACCCTAGCCAACAGGTGTCAGATGAGAGGATGGGAGGTGGTGGCACTGGCGGTGACAGTGGGGTCAGATATTCCCAGGAGTCAGGGCTGAGTGGAGGAAGTCCACTGTATAGCTGTAGGGGGTGTGGAGGAGGGGCCCGTCATTGCTAACAGTCCTGTGGAGCCTTTTGCTGGAGAAACTGAAACCCAGTTCTCTGTGTTCATGAGTCGCAATGCTTTGTCCCCAGGACAGCCCTGATACAAGACATAGAGAGAGGAAACCGAGGCTGTGAGGGCAGCAGGGACACAGGTCAGTGGCACTCATAGATTTGTGTGGGCCTGTCCTCTTTCATGTGTGTGTCTTGGAGTATGTGTCTGTGCACTTTTGGTGAAGATGAAAGCTTTTGAACGTCAGCAGAACAGAGGACTCTTGAGAACTGTGTGACCTCTCAGCTCCATGACAGGAGGGGCCATGTGGGTCTGTCTTGTTCTCCTCTGCATCTGCAGCCCCCTGCACAGAGCCTGGCCTGTTGGAAGGGCTCAATTTGCTGCCCAGATGAGTTACAAATGAGGAAACAAGTCCAAGATGAGAAGTGTCATCACTTCTGTGGTGGTGGAGGTGGGGCATTAATCAAATGATCACACAAATAATTCATTACAATTGTATTAAATATTTTTATTATGAAAGGAATAAATTACAGCTATAAGTGTTCAGAAGACTAATGGGGACTTCCCCTAGGAAATGCTGGTGACTGAGCTGACACCTGAAGGAAGAACAAACGTTAAATCTTCATAGCTCTCATTTATTGAGTACTCCTGGTGTGGCTCTATAGGATAAGCACTGGACTGCGAACCAGAAGGTCGGCGGTTCAAACCCACCAGCTGCTCCTTGGAAACCCTATACAAGGTTGCTATGACTCGAAATTGACTTGACAGCATTTAACAACAACAAGAAGACAATGTGCCAGGCACTGACCAGATGCTTATCTACATAATCTTGTTTATCCTGACAGTATTCCCATAGATAGGTGCCATATTACCTCCATGAGAGGCAACTTCTTTGTGGCACAGGGAGGTGAAGTAAAGGGCCCAAAGTTACTCCGAGCTATAAGCAGCAGAGTCAGAATTCAAACCTGACCCCAAGTAGTCTGGCTCCAGAGTCTAGTCTCTGAACCATTATGTTCTACTATGCTGCTAATGAGGCAAGTGGAGGGCTCAGGATAGGGGGATAACACCCAAGCGGAGGGAACAGCAGGCAGCGAGATATCTTAGGGTGTTTGAGCATCAAGACATGAAACTAGATAAACAGGCAAGGGCCATGCTGAGAATTCTGGCCTTTATCTGAACAGCAACAAGAAACCTCTAAAGAGTTTGAGGCAGCAGAGTACCATGATCAGATTCTGCATTTTCAAAACATCACCCCAGTGCTGGAAAGGGTGCTGGTAATTGTGGAACGAGAAAAGCTAACAAGTCTGAGGTAGATTCTGGAAGAATAATCTTGGTCAGGGTTGGATATAAAAGTGCAGGGAAAAGAGAAGGTAAGGGAGACCCATTTCTGACTTACGCAACTGAGTAGCTGGTGTTGCCACTCAGTTTATCACACAGGGCCATGCAGAGCATGATGGGAAATTCAAGGAAAGAATTTGGGGTACTTCAAGAGGGAAGCTCTGGCCTCAGTTTTTCGGAGGTGTCTCAGAGATAGCATGTGGTAGATGCTTAGCAGAGAGGTCTGTGCTGGAGACAGAGTTGGGGAATCCTTAGCAGATGGCAGGAATTGAAGCCGAGGGAGAGGATGAGAGCATGGAAGAGAAGAGGCCTGAGGCACTGACTGCTTCCCGGGTCACATAAGGGTCAGTGTAAAACAGATGTAGTAGCATGTATGGAGTGCTGGGTTAGCTTGTGCATGGGACTTAGCAGTGAATGATCTGGCCTGCCATCTCCAGTGCCCCCCGGAGTCCCACCTGGAGATGGACAGACACTGACCTCTCCTCCTGCACCTCCCTCCCAGCACCACCACCACCACTGAAGACCCGCTCCGTGCTCCGGGGTGATGATGTCCTTCTGCCCTGTGACCAGCCATCCAACCTGGCCCGGGCCTTGTGGCTGCTCAATGGGAGCATGGGCCTGAATGATGGGCAGGGTGGCTACCGCGTGGGCGTGGACGGGCTGCTGGTGACAGACACACAGCCCGAGCACAGTGGTAACTATGGCTGCTATGCTGAGGAGAATGGCCTCCGCACTCTGCTGGCCTTGTACAGCCTCACGGTCCGGCCAGTCACTCCTGCTCCGGCTCCACAGGCCCCTGCGGCGCCAGGTAGCCAACTGACACCCGATGTGAGGCTACTCTATGTACTAGCCATTGCTGCGCTTGGTGGCCTCTGCCTCATCCTGGCCTCTTCCCTCCTCTACATGGCCTGTCTGCGGGGAGGACCACGAGGGCGCAGAAGGAAATATTCACTGGGCCGGGCTGGCCGCACAGGGGGCTCTGCAGTGCAGCTGCAGACAGTCTCTGGCCAGTGTCCTGGGGAGGAAGATGAAGGGGATGATGGGGAAGGACCTGGGGGCCTGGAGGGCA